ATATATATTTATATTCGACATGACATCGCAATCTTCTCTAACATGTATTTGGTACTCTTACTTCTTAAAATAGGGCGGTTTAAAGTCAGTAGCAATTGACGACTTATATGACAAAGACAAATATGATTTATCAACGATGGAAGTCGATGATGTATTGAAATTACTTAGGTGAGAACTTCTAATTGGATTTTCAAATTCCAGAGGTATATAATTCATACATCGTCAAATTTTGTTTTTTTAAGTGCTACAAAAGACGGTCTTACCAGTGCGGAAGCTGAGCAACGTCTTGAAAAAGTAAGAATTTTTGTCCTTCTCTGCCGTTTGTTGATGCTCATTTTGCAATTTCGATTCCACCTTTTCTATAGTTTGGTCTCAATCGTCTAGAATCTAAAGAGCAAAATCCAATTCTTCAATTTCTGCAGTTCATGAACAATCCATTATCATGGTTAGTTAATAAGTTGACGACTTTTAGTTGAAGTTAAAGTGCAGAATTTGTACTCTTCTTTCTTTTATTAAAAAGGGTTATGGAATCTGCTGCTATTGTCGCCATTGCATTAAGTAATGGTGGTGGACAACCCCCGGATTGGGAAGATTTCGTTGGAATTATTTTACTTTTACTTGCTAATTCAATTATTGGTTTTTATGAACAACGAAATGCCGGAAATGCTGTGAAAGAACTGATGAAAACGTTAGCTCCAACAGCAAAAGTTGTATGTTTTAATGTTTTACAATTTACAAAGTCTGGGTTGCGTCAAAAACATTCATTTTTGATGCTTTACAGACTGAGAGTGCAGCATGAGAATGAGTTTCCAAAAAAAATTCACTCGGGGCCTGGATTTTTCTGGGATATTTCGCTAGTATCGCACATATCCTACTAATATCCGGCGTATTTTACTTGAATCTCGGGAATTCCCAATATCTAAATATATTTGCTGATATCTTATGTATTCACTAAAATCTCATGTATTTTACTAATATCTCGTGTGTTTTGTTGATATCTATTTTACCGGGATATCAGGCATCCCTCGGACAATGAGATGAAAGCGTTGTACCGTGTAGACCTCGTTCAATCTCGTTTTTACAAAAACGAGATTTTTTGACCGATTTCGCGAAATTTGTGGAATTAAGGCTGCTGTCCAAATCGGTTCAAAAGATTTTGTCAAAATATCAGTCCCTCGAACTTCTGCCGGAATTTGGCGAAACTGAGTTCCACTTACCGTGGAATTTCTGCGGCTGGTGCCACGGATTAAGGTTACCACCTAAATTAGTTCAAGAACTTCCACAGTAAATTATTCCGCTGGATTCCTGAGGAGATCACCGCGGCGTGTGTCACCCATGTCAACAATTGTTGTTAATTGTCATCAGTCTCACAAATCCGCGAATAATTAAAATGTTGTATTGTCCTTTCGTTTATGAGCCTTATAATTTCTGCGTCGAAATCAAGTGTCGACACAATTAAAGTACAAGCGATGATAAGATTGTCTTTTACAGCTACTTCCAACAAAATAAGTAATTTTATATCTTCGGAATCAGCATCGAATGATGCTCTTACTTTTTCAAACTGTCGATTTTCACTTTTTTCAGCGACCCTATGATTTTTTTCATAATTTCGAAAAACTGTTCGCTTCCAGTTGCTTTGAATGTTACGTTATTCACCACAGAAATTAACGCTCATTACAAGTACCATTTAAAAAGGTTTCTGCAACTCAAATAAATGATTACTTTTTTGCATACCTACCTAAGTATGAGAAAATAAACTGCTAGCGCCCGCTGCAGCTAATTACACTAGTTTCGATACCCGTTTCAGCTAACTGCATAACCGTACATAACATGCAACGGGTACTATACGGCTAAGCTGCATCTAGTAACAAATTGCCTAACACGATTTCCAACTAGTTGAAGGCAATTGAAATCGCATACAGTAACTTGTTTTTCCATGTAGGAAGCATTTCTCAGAGTTGAACCTAAAGACAATAGTATGTAAAATTTAATTTTCAATATTTTTCTCTCTTACAACAAATTTAGAAAAAGCTTCCTTCTGGAAGAAAATGTGATTTGTTTTATTACTGTTGATTGTTCACTATAACGGAGGCGTTTCCGAACATTGCATCTGGAGAAAAAAGTATTGAAAACTGAATTTTCTGTAGTATTGTATCTGGGTATCATACTAAGAAATGCTTCCTTGATGGTGAATAATCCTAATTAAGTTCAGTTTACTAGTTCAGAACAGAACGAAAAATGGTTATTTTTAGTTGTATGTTTTTGTGGTACAGTCACGTACGGAGAAGATTATTAATCTTTATATACAAAGTTCGAATCAGGAACTTCTTTTTCGTTCTTTTTCTTTGCTGTGGGTTTTTCATTCTGCATATATATATATACCCGCTGCAACTAGTACTGAAGCGGGTTAGCGGATTTGCTCCGCTGCCTCTAGCTACACCTGCTAAATTTTACTCTTTTACCTGATATTTACTTTCTGTTGCGACATACTTCTAAAATCTGACAAGGTCCTTTCATGCT